AAACAAGAAGACGGGAAGCCATGCCTCGAAGGCGAGGCAGGGAGGGGTGACCAAGACGGTGGTGCCAGAGGAGAGTCCGGTGAGACAGGAGACGACACGAGCAGGGGGCAGACTCAGGACCAGACCTGGACGCCGCAGCAAACACCTGACCCGACGCGGCTACCTGAGCAGACTCAGTGACTGGGGAAGACTCAGTAGTCAGTGTGTACAGGCTCGACCCTGGCCGACGAGCAAACGTGGCCAAGTGGCGGCCCGTGTCCGCACAAGTGCAGTGGGTCACCCGCTGACGCGCAGGGGTGAACTGGTCAACTCCTGCATCCTGGAGGTCAGCACCCGCCACCAAGTTCGTAGAGAACGAGGGGAGGTAGAGACCCGACAGGGAGCCAGACGGGACCGCTGGACACGGTAGGACAGTGGAGTAGTGAGCAAGGACAGGACCCCCAGAGGGGTCCGCTAGGGAGACCGCAACAGGCCGACTGAGCGGTGTGAGAGTGGTGCAGTCTCGAAAGAAGGAGCGGGAAGCACCCGAGTCAAGGGTGAAGGTGTGGGTGTCCGGGGGCGACGCAGCACCTGAGAGCGCAAACTCACCGGCACCTGGGGCAGCAGACGCACTGGCACCTAGAGCAGCAGCCTCACAAGTACCTAGCGCAGCAGCCTCTATGCCTGGGTCAGGCGGGAAACACCGGTAACAGTCACCCTCATCACTAATAGTCACAGCATACATGGCAGCAAGAATAGCATCAAAGTCAAGATCATAGATTGCAACACCCGCCCTAGACAGCTCGCCCCAGCGAGGGATCTCCGTAGCGTCGGGGAACTGGTGGCGCCACGCGTCTGTCAGCCGACCGAAGCAGCGCTGGGTGGGGTGCGGGCCTCCACACTGCTCACCCGCCCGGTCGCCGGTACGGAGAACGTAGGTGCAGGGGCCAGCACCCCCACCCCGCTGACGAGCAGCGTACCACTCACGAAGCTGCTGGGGGGAAGGGGTCTCACGGGTACGCTGCTGCTGCTGCTGCTGGCGCGCACCACCACCGGAGCCACCCCTCTGCGCAGCGCCACCCCGACCAGCTCCGCCGCCTCCGCCGCTACCTCCTCCACTACCGCCACCTCCGCCACCTCCGCTCCCACCGCCACCGCCGCCTCCACCTCCACCTCCAGTCCCGCCACCGACGCCCCCACCCCCGCCACCACCCCCACCGCCACCCCCACCCCCTCCACCACCTCCACCTCCGCCTCCACCGCCCCCTCCAGCCCCTCCAGCACCCTTGCCCCCCTTGCCCTTGCCAGGGCGGCGTCTCCCGCTAGGGGCAGACGCCGCAGCGACCGACTCAAGACCAACGAGGTCGGCCGCAGCAGCAGAGGCAACAGAGGGCAAGAGGGGAGAGGGGGAGCACCCCTCAAAGACAGGGGTACGAGGGTCACCACGAGAGGCACCTACTGCGACTATGCTCTTCTCTGCCGCGAGCAGGCGCTCCTCGAGGAGGTCAACGGTGAGGGTGGTGGGGCAAACAGAGAGGAAGTGGTCCCTAACCGGGCGAAGGGTGTCAGGGAGCCGGGTGACTATGTAGTAGAGGGTGATGTACATGGGGGGGGGGTTCTTGGCGCAGAACTCAGCAGGAAGCGCAGCGCGGTAGCGAGTGTCACTAGTGCGAAGGTGCGTAATGAGGTCAGCGACAGTGGGAAAAGCGGCGAGGTCAGGGAAGAGGTACGGTAGGATAAGGCGGCTAAGCGCAGCAGTGGCAGGGGAAGAGTAGCGCGCAACTACAGCGTCGTACAAGGTCTTAGCACTCTTGTACTGGCTAAAGTGCGCACGCTCAGAGGTCGGCAAGTGGCGGCGCACAGCAAGGCGGGCAGCAGCATCGCGTGTGGCCCACTGGGAGCGAACAGTGGGGTCAGCATCAGCAGCAGGGGCAGGAGAGGCACCAGAGGTGAGGTCAAAAAGGGAGAGGCCGTCTGCTCTGTCGCTCAGTAGGAAAAGCTGCAGGTCATCTACCCAGACGTCAAAGTCAATGGCCCGACCCTCAGCGTCAAAAGTGAGGACACTGGGGGAAGCCATGACAGCAGTAGACTAGCAGTGAGAGCAGCAGGCTAGGGCAGAGCAGTGGTGGAGGCGCTGCTCTTACCGGGCAGGCGAGAAGGACCGAGGCGCGTCGGCAGGAACAGGGCCGGGACGGCAGGAACGGCGGCTCGGCGGCTCGTCGGCACCGGCGTCTCGGCGGCTCGGCAGCACGGCGGCAGTGGCGGCTCGACGGCTCGGCAACTCGGCGGCAACGACGGCTCGGCGGCTCGGCGGCTCGACGGCTCGGCGGCTCGGCGGCTCGGCGGCGGCGGCGTCTCGGCGGCGCGGCTGCTCAGCGAGGCCGCGAAGGGATGGCGAAGGGGCCGCAAAGGGCGGCGGTGGGGTCGCACGGGTGGGGCGACGGGGGGTCGCGGGCGGCTGCGACCACAGTAGTCGCGCGCGGCTGCAGAGACGGGAGGGCAGGCGGCCGCGGCGACGAGGTCGCAGGCGGCTGCGACAGCAGGGTCGCGGGCGGCGGCGACGGCAGGGTCGCGGGCGGCTGCGGCGACAGGGTCGCGGGCGGCTGCAGCGGTAGGGTCGCAGGCGGCCGCGGCGACGAGGTCGCGGGCGGCGCGAAGGGCGACGGGGTCGCGACGGGCGGCGTCGGGGTCGCGGGCGGCTGTAACGACGCCGCGCAGGGCGACGCGAGGGTGGGGCCGCGGGGTCGCGACAGGGGGGCGCCGGGGCCAGCAGAGGCGGCGCCGGGGCCGGAAGCGCGGCGCGACGGGGCCGCTAAGGGAAGCGAGGGGAGGGGAGCGCGACTCGGGCAGGGGCGGAGCGCGCTCCGGGCAGGAAAAAAATCTTACGGTGGGCCCTAGGAACAGTTCCCACGAGGGAACCTGCTCTATACCATGTGACAATTGGAACGAGAATGAATGCATTGAGCAGCATGAGGAGTACAAGTACCAAACCCTAGAATGTTGTACCCCATATGAGCTACCCCACTACAGCCTACACAGACTATAGTGTATAAGTTTGACAGTCGTGACCCCTAACTGTGCGCGGTAAAGCCATGATAAAGTCCATGGTGACTACCTGCCAAGGGCGGTCGGGTGGTGGAATCGGCTGCAAAAGTTATGCTTTGCAGCAGCCGTGAATCGCAATAATCTCCGCTATGTCCGGCTTCAACCCTTCGAGGTAGCGATCGCGCATCTCTGCTTCCGTGATGTCGTCTATCTCGTTGCAGATGCTCAAGAACCGTCGTGTGTACTCCTGGACGTTTCCTATCTGTCGGAAATGACGCAGACGCTTCCTAGCAGCTTCGGAGGCGTTCACCAAATCGAACCTACTTTTCAGCGCCGCTTCAAATCCTTCCCATGTCGTCGGAACCGTGGTAACACCCAAAGCTAAACTCCCTAAGCTCGAAGTTGCAGCTGCATGCCCCACGCCCTGTTGATGCCCGTCTAACTGAGCCCTCCGTACAGCAGTCTGCGTAAGTTGGCGCCACCACTCCAAGGCCGGGCCCCTCAGCAGCGTTACGGCGTACTCGATCCGCTGCTGCGCGTCCGCCTCTTGCACCCCGCTCGCGGCGAAGTAATTGTTGAGCATGAAGAGCCACGTTCGCACGTTCGCGTCGCGTTGACTTGGGTCGAACGACTCGGGCTTCTGCGGCTTGAGCGCGCTTCGACGTTCCGGCAGCGCTTCCGCGCCAGTCGACGTGGTGGGTGCAGGAGTTGGTGCGGCAAGGCCATGGGGGTTAGAAGCCAAATTGCGAAGCTGTTGCATTTCGGCTCGTACCTGACGCATGAGCTCGGCAAGCGTGTTGCCCATGTCGTGGGGGAAAGCGTTCATGGATTCGTCCATGTTCGCTCGACGACTCCAAGTCTGCAAGTCGGCACCGCGGGACGATGACGGCGTAGTCTCGTCGTCGACGGTCGCTCGTTGGAAGTCGCTCCCTGCGAAGACTCTTGATACCAAGTGTTAGGCCCGCTGGCCTAAGTCCGCTAAAGAATTAGCGGGGTCGACTAAGTCGAGGATAAAGCGCGGCGGAAGACTTTGGCGAAAGAACTACTAGCGAAATAGGCGAAGGAGTTACTGAGTAATTGAAGAAGAGTTGAATGAGAATTGGTTGCTCATGCCAAGTACAAGCAAGGTTTATATAGCATGCAAGAAACAAGGTTGGAAAGTGGATTGTGGGACCAAGAATTGTAGTGCAAGAAAAGTAGAGTGCCACGTGGCACTAGAGAATCTGAGAAGATAAGGATAAGGGTGACTTGGATGGGTTGGGAAAGTACTGTTCAAAGGGAACAGTAAATCCCCCTTTAACATCAATCTCAAGAATCTCACCAAGTGCAGTACTAAACAAGCCTGGCCCTTTAGACGGCTACAACATGGCTTGGGCAAACCATCCGAGGCAAAGAACTAGAGGCCCCGCAGATGCGCCCTGTGTTCCTCCAGCATATTCTTACATTCGTTGACAGCCACGTCAGCTCCAAAATTTCATTATATCGAGCTGCAGCGCGGCACCTTCAATTCCGCAATGACCGTCTTTTCCTGCCGTCTTTCTGCTGAAAGGCAGTGCCTGCTAGCCACGCCTGTCTCGCTCTGCTCCTCCACACCCCTTGGTGAGATTCCTTCTCCCGAAGCTTTCTCCGCGCCGCCGGCGTGCCTTCGCTTGAAGCCTCCGAGATGCGCCACATGTGCGGCTTGTCACGAAGGAGGGGCTCCCTCCCTCTCTCTCTTTTCTCCGAGAGAGGAACATGTTTCCTCCTAGGAACGAGTTAGATTCTCCTACCCACTCTCCTAGATTGTAAACATCTGAACCACTATGGCTGACCTTCTCTTCCTACCTGGCGTCAGACTCTCTGCTCTTCGTGTCGCCACGGCGGCGAAATGCGCGACTCGAACCCTGTGCCTCGGAACGATGGATCAATGTCGTCGCATGACGATGCGACGCCGCCTCTACGCTTCCAGGGTCACTCATAATGACAACCAAGAAGGCATGGCCAGCGATAGGAGGCTCACGCAGTCGCTGCGAAGCTCCTCAAATCCGCAAGCAGCCAGAAACGCGTCGAGCACGACGCGAAATGCGGCGCCAGATCCGACCGTTACGGCAGAGCTTCCGCCGCCCTCATTCCACGTGGACGTGGCGATTGCAGGCGGCGGTCTCGCGGGGCTCGCGCTCGCCGCCGGCCTGCAGTGGCGCGGCGTCGAGGCGGCCGTTTTCGAGGCAGCACCCGCCGTGCTGCGATCGAACAACAGCACGGGCACGATACTCGTCATGTTTCCCAACGGCACTAAGGCGCTCGAGGGATTAAAGCCGGGGCTCGGCGACGCTGTGATTGCGTGTGGATCATCGATCACAAAAGTTCAGTCGGTTTTCCAAGAACTTTCGGCCGATATAGTAGATTTTGAACCGGCCAGAGCTTCTACGAGCTGCGGTCCCTGTAGTAGCGGATCTGGCACTAACGATGCTGCTATGAAAGGAACCAGCGAAAATCGCGACGGGTGGGTTATGAGGGACGTGGCGCCGCGAGGCCAGATAGTCGTGGAGTGGGCGCGAGCCCAAGAGGTGCTTGCCTCGTCTTTAATGCGACCCGAGAGTATTATGCACGGTCATCGCGTCGTGGCGTACCATCCCGTCGTGGCGGGAATTCCTATAGACAGCAGGAGCGGTGAAATGGAAAGTAGCAATGCTGCCGGTATCGAGGGAGAGGTGGAAGCGGTTGACATGGTGCTCGAGGTTGTGGGTTCGAATCCTAAAACTAGCGCAAATGATTGCAGCTTTGCTGTTGCGGAAGGAGCTGAAACTGCGGACGAGGTGGGTGCAGTGGAGCAACAGCGCCAGCTGGTGGTGGTTCGTGCGAAGATTCTGGTCGCAGCAGATGGCCTACGATCAGCTGTGCGAAATCAGATGATCGGCGACTCGCCTCGGTATCTGGCACAGATTGGATGGAACGCGCTTGTGCCAAACCCGCTAACCGCGAGAGTGCACCAACAACAAGATAGAACGTTCTTTTATTTCAAAGATGAGGTTACGAGTTACCAGATGTTTATGATTGATGTCGGCCACGGGAAGATTTTTTGGCAGGTAACGCTCTTTTAGCTCGCATTCTGTTTACCTTTCACCCTTTCTTTTCATGCCTTTCTTCTGGGCCTTTCAATTCATGCCAACCCATTCATGCCACGTCATACTGCTGGCACGTTCTTGGTTTATCCACTCCTTTTAGTTCACACATGCGCTCACAATCGATGCTGGCGCATCCTCCTGCACTCTTTCATAGCGAAACAACCACATTGTTTCACCAACCACACACACTTGCATTGTGTCAACAACAGTTTATACACCATCTTCAGAATCTGTGATACCCTGACAATCTTCCCTATTTCAGGTTCAAGCTGATGACCCTGATGGCCAGCTCGTATCCGAGCTCCAGCTAACACCCTTTGGTGGCTTTGGCAAGCCAGGTGTCAAAGACCGTTTGATGTGCCACATCAGCAAGAACATTGCAGACCCCTCAGGGCACGACACCTGGCATACCATGCTCCAAGTGGTTACCACCACCGACCCTGGGAGCATCTACGAGCGGTGGATGATGGACCGGCCTCCTCCAAATGATTCTTGGAGCGACTCGAATTGTGGTAGCAGGGTTGTTCTTATGGGGGATGCTGCACATGCCATGCACCCCGGACCAGGGCAAGGTGCTCATACTGCATTCGAGGATGCACACCAGTTGTCCCTATGCCTTGCTGAGATCAAGGACAAGCTCACCGAACCTGCTGCCGTGGCTGCTGTGGTTCGGGAGTATGAGGCTCGGCGGATCGATCGGTGTGTGAAAGTCCATGCATACGCCACTGCAGCGCATTGGTATGGTCAGGAGGGGAAATTTGTTAAGGAAGATGTTTTTTGAGTTTCAAAATTGGGTCCAAGCATACCCAGACAAGATCGAAGGTGACCCTGATACTACCTACTTCAAGTGATCTTTCAACTGCTCACAGGTCCACCACAAGGGATCCTAGACACGTGACCTGGTTCAAGCGATTCTTCAACTTGGTCCTTCAACTGTGGGCCTAAATCCACCTGTTCCTGCTAGGTTATGGATGGATGTCAATTCAGGAAATTACGAAAATGTGTTACGCCCCCGAAGGGTTTTGGCAGGCAAACATGAAATTAGAGAGCTGGAGCGCAGCTGCCCAGTTTCCCACCGCATCAATTGCATAACCAAGGACATGCCCCTACCTCCGTGTCAACTCAAGTAACATTATGACACGAAGTTAGGGACGCACCCTAACGGTTCCCCGTATAAGCACAATCGTTCTCTCTATAAGCACACCCTCAGCAATATTGCTTCTTAGCACTCCGCCAGAGCATCTAAGGACGAGGTGAAGGCCTGAGAAATGAGCCAACACCGTTGATGGTGCCGCGAACAGTGTCTCTAACGGTCCCGCCAATAGCGCGTCCGATTCCCCCGCGGAGACTCGTGGTGCTGGCTGCGGGGACCAGGTCTGGGGGGATGAGCAGCGTGCTGGTGCCCTGGATCGTGAAGTCCGAGCCTACCCACAGGTTCGGCACGACCAGAGCCGTAGGCAGCTTCGACCCGCCTTGGAACGTGACGATTGGCTGGCCCTTGGGGCCGCGCTTCGCGACGAGATTGCCCTCGATAGTGTCGATCTGGGTGCCGGGGGGAATGTCGGTGAGGTTGCGGAACAGGTAGCGCGTGGCGATGGTGTTGTAAGAGAGAATCGTCGTCTGCTGGTCCTTGGTGTAGCTCTGAAGCGCCGCGATGTTCGCCGGAAGCAAGATGGTTATGTCCGTTAGAGGGATCTTCGATTTTACTGTAAGGGAGGGAAGACTTGAAGGGGACAAGACATATGATTAGAACCGGGGTTGGGGAGGTTCTGGCAAACATTTGGCGAAAACAGAAGGCGAAGGCTTGGCAGGGAGATGGGAAAGGGAGTTAGCTGCAGATTGGATCCCTCTATTGAGTAACTCGATTTACGCGCACTGGAACTTACGATAGTCGTCGACGAATTTGTGGAGGCCTTGGTACGCCGGACGTTGCGAGATGCTGTTGACAGCTCGATCTACCTCCTTTGTTCTTAACGCGGACACTTGGCAGCCGCTGTGCCACAGGACGATCATCGCGAGAAGAGCTGCACGGTAAAACGACCCCATTGTCCAACACTGGCTACGAGCGCGGAAAACAGCGAACGGAGAACTGCGACGTAGAACGCAATGTATGAGTCCTAGAAGGCGCCTATAGAGCGCGCTATCCTGACCAAGCTGAGAGGCAGCAGAGAGGGGGTGACGGTGAACTGGAAATTGAAGGGGTGAAAATCTTGACTTCCTTGCACACGTTGAGGGAGGAGAGAAAAATCAGGAACCAGAGACTGCCGTTTGTGATCGGTGAGTGATTGATGATGCCTGCAATGCTGGTCAAACCGCTTTTCAAGTGCGACTGAGAGATTCGAGTCGCGTGCGACAGATTTGACGCACTCGCAGGCAAATTTCGCCCGAGTCGCTGCGAGGAAGGCTCGTCGCAGGGCCAGTGAAACTCGCGTTGCCCAGGGTGTGTGTCTCTGCGCCTGAGTTCGTGAAATCGTGTTCCGTCCATCACGCGGCTCGTAGAGTCGCCTGCGTCGTCTTGTCGGTTCACGACGGGTCACCGAAATCCGCCCAGCGAAAACCGTCGGCTACTCCGCGAAAGAAACCCGCTGAACGGCGAGACCGTCAGTCAGTAGCTCTGGCTGGCGTGGCTCATCGCATTGTCGTTTCTGTTGGACGACGTTCTGGCGAAACTGGAAATGCCCTGCCTTGCGAAAGTGTTGCACTGCACCGTGACATTTGCTTGGCGGGGTTCGGTTCAGGCTTTTGCGGTGACACCCAATTTCAATTTGTGCGCGATGTAAAGTGACCCGTAATTGTACAGGCGAATGCGAATTGATTCTGTATGAAAATGTTATCCCACCACGAGTCACGCAGCATCCGTGGATGCTGCTTCTGCCTGCCTGAAATGGTAGCCTGCAGGTAGCTAGCACAACTAGTGTACCGAAAGTTACCTCGCATTGTCACAGGCAGAGTATCTTTTGCAAAAGGTCTCGCCATTCCTTTCACCTCGCGGTGAGGCGAACCATTCTGTCGCTAATTGGTTCAGGCTGAGTCCAGCTGGCAACCATGGCTGCCACGTTAGCGCCTGATCCTGAGGCTTCCCGCACGGGAGGAATTTCTCCGCGCAAGCCAAGTCCATTATCTGTTAGACCGGAATTTCCGGAATCCTTGTGCGATTTGAGATCGGATTCGCCATCGCTGTGCGACCTGCCAGGGCCAATCGTCGCACACATTCTCTCGCGATCGCTGTGCGATCCGCGCGACGTTGTCGCCGTGAGAAGCGCCTGTCGCAGCGTTCGCGATGCAGTTGCGTCGGCACCTCTCCAGCTGTCCCTTTTGCAGATGGATCAGCCTCATGCCTTTCGAAAGGATGGAGCCAATGGAACTGTGCCACGTAAGTGGATCCCTGCGAGCCTATGGAACAATCGTATAAGCTATGGTATCGGTTTCTTGCTGCTAGGGGATATATGCAGCTCAATAACGGGTATAACTGATAAGAGTTATTGGTACACCCGCAGCTGGTAGCCGATTTCGATAGCTGGTAGTAAGTTTAATTAGATTATCCATTTCCTCAGTCATGCATACGCGTCTCAACCATCTATGTGTCTGCATGCTCAATCCATCCACATTCTCACCTCACAGAATATGCAAACGCCAGCTCAGCTGCCACGTCAGCAGAGCCAATCGCCTCCTTCCCCCTGCACAGCTCTGCGTGGTGCTCCCAGGCTGTACGGGGGATTGCACACGTGGCGCCGCTCCTGCACACGCTGTCACTTGCCACCTCAGCAGTGTCCGATGCTGACGTGGCAGTGTGTGTCTCCTCGCTGACTAGGATGCAAGTGCTGGTCCTGGATAACTGCAGAAAGCTGTGAGTTTCCTGGATTTTTTTCTCCTTATCTTTCCAACAATCAAATCAAAACATTCCGGCGAAGGCTGATGCAGCGTGCCAAAAGCTGTGTTCGCTAGGCGCCTCAGAATAGCTACAGGTAACAGGAGGATGCTTGCAGGAAAGGAATAGCTGACACAAAGTGGGTGGACAGTCAATTAGCCAAATGGCAACATCCATGGCCAAATGGGTGGGTGGGTTGGAATAATGCCTTATCTAAACTCCAAAGGCTATGGATGTTGCGTGTTTCTCTCCCTCCCTCTCCCGCACAGACGCATTGGCCCCTCAACTCACCTCCTCCCCCTCCCTCACCACCATCTCCCTCCACCGCTGCTTCGGCCTCACCCCTCGCACGTCCCCTCTTTCCCTCCCTCCCTCCCTCTGTCCCCCTCTTTCCTTCCTCCTCTCTTCTCCTCTTCTCCCCTCCAACCCTGCCAGCACAGATGCATTGGCCCCTCATCTCGCCCCCTCCCCCTCTCTCATCACCATTTCCCTCCACCGCTGCGTCGGTGTCTCACCTCCCACACACTGTTTCCTTCTTCTAGCAGCTCTCAGCAAACCGGGATTGATGCTTACCTTTCTCCATCCTCGTCTCTTCCCTTCCCTCCCTCTCCCCTTCTTCCCCTCTCCTCCCCTCTCCTCCCCTCTCCTCCCCTCTCCTCCACCCACCAGAGTAGCCACATTAGCGCCTCACCTCGCCGCCTCCCCCTCCCTCACCACCATCTCCCTCCACCACTGCTTCGGCCTCACACCCTACACTCCCCTCTCTCCTTCCCTTCCACCTCCTCCCCCCAACCCCACCAGCACAGATGCTTTGGCGCCTCACCTTGCCGCCTCCCCCTCCCTCACCACCATCTCCCTCCACCGCTGCTTCGGCCTCACACCCCACACCGTCTCCCTCCTTTTAGAAGCTTCCAGGAAACCTGGCTCCGTGCTGACTACCCTGGTCTTCAGCCACGTGGACAGGCTCTCTGTCCGCCACGTGGCACCTCCAGAAATTCCTCAGAAGGAGTCTCCTCCTCGAGAGGAGGAGGATGGGCTCATGTCGTTTCTTGGTCTCACTCAAAAGAAACAGGAGGAGGGTGAGTGATGAGTGGGAGGAGTGGGAGGTGGAGGAGGGCGGCTGGGGAATGGGGGGAGGGTGGGTGGGCGGTGTGAAAGGAGGATGGGGAATGGGGAGAGGGTGGGTGGGTGGACGGTGGGTATTGGGAAATGAAAGGAGGTTGGGAGCATGTCGTTTCTTGAATTAACTCGAGAGAGGAGCAATTGGGAGGCGGATGTGGGGCGTGGGGAGTAGGCGGAGTGTGGTTTAGCTCCTCCTTAGTGCATGCGCTAACAATCTTCTCCTCTTCTTCCCCTCGTTCTTTCTTCTTCTTCCTTTGTGCACCAGCCTCGTTCCCAGCAGCACTATCTCAAGTGCTCCAGCGCCCCTCCTCCCTGCGCGCCCTCTCTCTCCACTCCTGCCAAGCCCTTTCCGCCAAAGCTTTGCAGTTGCTGGTGAGTGGCAGGGTAGGGAGAGTATGAGGAGACCAGCGTGTCGTGTAGTGAGCCACCTGGAGTTCGTTGTGAGAGTAAGAGTGTGAATTTTACATGTACAGCTTGTTTTGAGACGTCTCAAAACACTACTTTTATCACGGTAGCCACCTGGAGCTCGTTCGTTGTGAGAGTAAGAGAGTGTGAATTCCATGTGTACAGCTTGTGGCGAGAAGACGCTCGTTAGGTGGGGAGGAGAAGAGCTGGGGATTGTGCAAAAGGGTGTAAATCCCGCCGCCCTTCCCCTCGTTTGGAGGGCCACGTCCTGCCCTCCTCACTCCATCTACATCATCCCGCCGCCCTTCCCCTCGATTTTCCATGCTCTCTTCTCGCCCCCTCTGTCCTCGCAGGCCTCAGCTGCCCGCATCTCGAGCTCCTGTGTCTTGGCGGATCCCGCTTCCCCGTTCTCCCTCACGCCCTTTCCCTTCCCTTTGCGCTCCCCTTGCTCCACCCTCGCGACTCTCCCCCTGCCCACGCCACGCCCTCAGCTGCCCGCATCTCGAGCTGCTCTGTCTTGGCGGATCCTGCTTTCCCATCCTCCCTCCCTCACGCCCTCCCCCACTTCTCCCTCTCCCATCGCACTCCCTTTGCTTGCCCCTCGCTCTCCCTTCACTACTCTCCTTCTTGCAGGCCCTTAATCGTCCCCATCTTGAGCTGCTCTGTCTTGGCGGTTCCTGCTTCCCCATTCTCCCTCTCCCCCCCCCCCCCTCCGCTTTACTCTCCCCTTGCTACTCTCCCCCTGTCCATGCCAGGCCCTTAATTGCCCCAATCTCGAGCTGCTCTGTCTTGGTGGTTCCTGCTTCCCCATTCTCCCTGCTGCCCTTCCCCTCTTACTTGCCCTTCCCATGCTCTCCCTTGGCTTTTCCCTCGCTCTCCCCTCCCTCACTACTCTCCCCCTCTCTTGCAGGCTCTCAGCTGCCCCAATCTCGAGCTGCTGTGTCTTGGAGGTTCCTGCTTCCCCATTCTCCCTGACGCCCTCCCCCTGCCCTCCCTCTCCCGCCTCCTCCTCTCACTCCCTCCCCGCCTCGTCCCGCCCTCCCTGCTCTCCCGCCTGGCATCTACGTCCCCACTACAAAGCACAACAGACGCAGCAGCAGCGGTAGGTGCAGTGGAAGGAGCAACAGCAGATACAACAGCAGCAGCAGCAGCAGCAGCAGCAGCAGCAGCAGCAGCAGCAGCAGCAGCAGCAGCAGCAGCAGCAGCAGCAGCAGCAGCAGCAGCAGCAGCAGCAGCAGCAGTAGGGGGAGAAGCAGCAGGTGGAGCAGCAGCAGCAGCTACAGCAGCTGGGGGGGCAGCAGCAACAGCAGCAGAAAGAGCAGGGGAGATCCGCAGACAGGTGCAACTGGGGGAGGTGCTACCTGGTGCATGGGGGAGGGGGAGGTGCGGAGGAGACAGGTGCAAAGGCAGGTGCGGCCAGGGGAGGCGCTTGGTGGCCTGGCGGTGGTGCTGGGGAGGCTCCAACTGGTGGAGGTATCATTCTGGGAGAAAGGAGTAATTGACGACATGAGGTGAGAGCGATATAGGAACCAAGCTGCCTCTGCTGCTGGGAAGGTTGCAACTGGTGGAGGTATCATTCTGACAGCCAGCTGACTTTTGAGTCGACTCAAAAGTCACATGAGGTGAGACTCGTGAGAGGGGCAAGGAGCCAAACCACCAGACAGCCAGCTTCCAGATTACCCGCCGGTTGTCACTCTGCTTGATGGAATCATAGTGCAGAGACTTCTTCTCTGGCAAAGTCTAGTTTTGAGGCGCCTCAAAACTAGTCTTCTCTGGCAAAGGTGTCACTATGGTGAAGCTCTTTGCCGGAGATTTTTGAGGCGCCTCAAAAAGAGGCGCAGTGGGGAATGGCCAGTGCTCTTTTGCAATCCGCCCTGCCCGTTCAATCGAATTGAGCTCCCTGAAATGCTACACAAAACATAATCATTCCGAAGCTCCACTACCCGGTTTCAGTTATTGGGCAGAACCAAATGAACCGGCTACGTGTCGGAAAAAGTCGTGCTCTGACTTCTCTTGTGCCTTGAACTCACGGAGTTCTATGCTCAAAAGTGCTCTCGAAAGCTCACAGAGTCGCCTACGTGTCGTGAAGGATGCTTCCCATCTCACGACAGATAGCATCCCATCCCATCCTCACTTGTCACAGAGAAAAATAGGTTCGACCCAGATCCAGCAGATCTAACTCGTTCTAGTCGTCGCTCTCTTGTTTTGCTTGCAGGGATGCTATCTGCAATCTCCCCAACCCGCCTCTCCTCCTTGACCTCTCCACTCACCGAGAGGCAGTTATCACTTATCCTTTCCGTATTCCTTCTTCACTCCCTTCTCCCCAACCCCCACATTCGTGTTTTGCTTGCAGGGATGTTATCAGCTCCCTCCCCCACCCGCCTCTCCTCCTCGACCTCTCCACGGACCGAGGGGCGCTTATTGCCGCCCACATTTCTCGTCATGCCGCCCGGATTCACGCCCGTGCCGCCCAGGGCGTGTCTCACTCTACCGCCCACTCCCACTGGCATCTTCCGTCTTTTGCGGGCGCCACAGGACAAACCGTAGCAGAACACGCGACAGCAGCAGACGCAGCAGCAGTAGAAGAGAGAGCAGCACAAGTGGAAGTAGCGGCAGCAGCAGCAGCGGCACAAGTGACAGTAGCAGAGGCAGAAGCATCAGAGGCAATAGCAGGACAAGTGATAGTAGCAGAGACTGCAGCATCAGAGACAATAGCAGGGCAAGTGAGAGTAGCAGAGGCAGCAGCAAGAGAGACGAGTGCAGGGCAAGTGACAATAGCAGAGGGAGCCCGGCACTTGTGCCGACAGTGTGTGAGGGCCACACGCCCTGCCAGACCTGCTTCCTCTCCTGCTCCCGCTGCGGACGACTGCTGTTGTGACCTCTCCCATCCCCTGCCCAGTCCCCACTCCACCTCCCTCTCCCCCCTCCCTCTCACTCCCCCCTCCCCCTCCCTCTCCCTCCCCCCATCCGCCCTGCTCTGGGCCCTTCGCTCTGCTGCTGGCTGTAGCAGCACCCAACAGCGCTCCCCCCTCCACGTGGCAGCCCTGCTGCAGGATACACGTGGCGCCCAGGCATTGGTTGACGTGGTTGGGCTTGGGGGAGGGCGCTGGGCTTGGGGAGGTGGGGGGAGCGGGGGAGCAGGGGGAAGGGGGTGCCTGGGAGGGTGTATTGTGGAGGGGAGGGGGAAGGGGAGGGGAAAGGGGGAGAGGAAGAGGGAGAGGATGGGGAGGAGGAGAAGGAGGGGGGTTTCTGTGAGAGGATGAACAGGAGGTTATGGGAGGCGTGGGAGAGGGAGGAGGACGAGGTGGAGAGGGGGGAGAGGGAGTGGGGAAAGGAGGAAATAGAGGAGGAGAGGGGGGGAAAGGCGGAGGAAGAGGAGGAGAGGGGGGGAAAGGGGGAGGAGTTGGAACGGCAGAAGGGGCAAGGGAGGGACGAGGAGCAGGAGGGCAAGGGAGGCGAGGGCACGAGAGAGGAGGGCACGAGAGGCGAGGGCAAGGGAGGCGAGGGCATGGGAGGCGAGGGCATGGGAGGCGAGGGCATGGGAGGCGAGGGCAAGGGATTCGACATTGGAGGGGAGGGGCGTCTGGTGGTGAATATGAGAGACAAGGGCGGAGCGACAGCTCTGTTTCTTGCAGCGGAGGCTGGAGATGCGTGGACTGTAGAGGTGGGTGGGCCCTTAGGGGAAAGAGAGTGAGAGAGGGTGGTTGCGATGTATTTCTGGTAGTCCTTCTCTTTAGAGTTGACTCAAAAGTTTTGAGTCGACTCAAAAGTCAACTCTTTGAGGTGGGTGGGCCCTTAGGGGAAAGGGAGTGAGTGGGTGGTTGCGATGTAATTCTGGAAGTCCTTCTCTTTAGAGTCGACTTAGAAGCTTTGAGTCGACTCAAAAGTCAACTCTTTGAGGTGGGTGGGCCCTCAGGGGAAAGGGAATGAGTGGGTGGTTGCGATGTATTTCTGGTAGTCCTTCTCTTTAGAGTCGACTCAGAAGCTTTGAGTCGACTCAAAAGTCAACTCTTAGAGGTGGGTGGGCCCTCAGGGGAAAGGGAATGAGTGGGTGGTTGCGATGTATTTCTGGTAGTCCTTCTCTTTAGAGTCGACTCAGAAGCTTTGAGTCGACTCAAAAGTCAACTCTTAGAGGTAGGTGGGCCCTTAGGAGAAAGGGAGTGAGTGGGTGGTTGCGATGTATTTCTGGTAGTCCTTCTCTTTAGAGTCGACTCAGAAGCTTTGAGTCGACTCAAAAGTCAACTCTTAGAGGTAGGTGGGCCCTTAGGAGAAAGGGAGTGAGTGGGTGGTTGCGATGTATTTCTGGTAGTCCTTTTCTTGCAATTGCCCTCCCCCGCCTCGACTTTTGATTCGACTAAAAAATCAACTTGCGATTTATTTCTGGCAGTCCTTTTCTACATGCAATTGCACTCCCCCGCCTCTCTCTCTGCAGGTGCTGCTACAAGCAGGTGCGGACATGGCAGTGGGCAACAGAGGCGAGGAGACGCCCCTCTACATCGCCTCACTCAAGGGCCACCTGTGGGTGGTGCGGCGGCTGCTGGGGCACTGCAGAAGGAGAGGGCTGGACTGGCAGGCAGATGCGAGCTTGCACAGGGGAGGTGAGATGTGAGGAGTGGGGAGGGGTGGGGAGGTGTGGGGTGTGGGAATGCTTCCTTTGATTGGGGCACTCAAGGGCCACTTTTCTGTAGGAAGTGTGATGGCTGCTGGGGCAGTGCAGGAGGAGAGGGCTGGACTGGCAGGCAGATGCGAGCCTCCACAGGGGAGGTGAGATGTGAGGGGTGGAGAGGGGTGGGGAGGTGTGGGGTTTGGCGATTGATCTCTTGACTGGCAATAAAGGGCCACCTATGGGTGGTGCGATGGCTGCTGAGGCACTGCAGGAGGAGAGGGGACTGACAGGGTGATGAAAATCATGTGCCATAGTAACGAGGTGACTTTTGAGTCGACTCAAAAGTCACTGCAGGAGGAGAGGGGACTGACAGGGGGATGAATATCATGTGCCATAGTAACGAAGTGACTTTTGAGCCGACTCAAAAGTCACTGCAGGAGGAGAGGGGACTGACAGGGGGATGAAAATCATGTGCCATAGTAACGAGGTGACTTTTGAGTCGACTCAAAAGTCACTGCAGGAGGAGAGGGGACTGACAGGGGGATGAATATCATGTGCCATAGTAACGAAGTGACTTTTGAGCCGACTCAAAAGTCACTGCAGGAGGAGAGGGGACTGACAGGGGGATGAATATCATGTGCCATAGTAACGAGGTGACTATTGAGCCGACTCAGAAGTCACTGCAGGAGGAGAGGGGACTGACAGGGAGATGCAATCATGCAAGCTTCTACATGGGAGGTGAGATGTCGCGGGTGGGGAGGGGCGGGAAGGTGTATAACCCCATTCTCAATCCCCCATCCAGGGTCCGGTCCGGGGTGACACCGCTCTTGCCCTCTTGGCAGCAGCTATCCAACCACTCTCACGTGCTGCACACACTGCTCCCATTTCCCCCTCTTATGTTCCAACCACCCCCTCCCATCCTCCCCATCCCCCACATTCCTATCCAGGCTCTGGCTGGACACCCCTCATGGCAGCAGCGCTGTCCAACCACACTCACGTGCTGCACACTCTGCTGACTCACCATGTACACACCCA